TTCATTAATAGTTTCAAGGTTCACATAAATGATAACATGGGATTTATGGTTAGTTAAGGCGTGTGTAATTTGACAGAGTTATTTTATCAGTATGGTGTATACAGTATAGTGTATGTTTCCATAGTCTAGCGTATATTCAATTTATTTAGCCGGCGAGTATTACTTTTGAACAGTTGCGTGTGTACTGGAGCGGCATTTCGCGGGGGTTTCGACAGTGTTTTTATATAAATATGATGGTTTCCAATTTCCAAAGTCATTGAAAAAGATAATTCGGTGATAACTCAGTCCCCTTTCAGACATTCTCATCAATTCTTCATTCATATCGGCCCCGAATTGTCAGCCTTCAGGTTTGATTGTGCTGCTCTTCACTGTACCATAATAAGTGTTATTTGAAAAGAGTGCGAATAAAATAAATATATTACATGAAACATTTTTCAGTTAAATCACTGTTATCGTTTTATGATACCACGTGCCATTTTTATTTATTCACGGATCGAAGTATAAACCACCTTCACATCGTTATGTTTACGCGTACATGCCTTTTACGAGTGCTTCCATATCTATCAGAAGTGACTGAGATAATATGGCGTCTCAGTTTGCCACGAGGTGGGTGACACATTGTTGAGGACACGCGTTCATGGCGGCCAGACTCCTACATACAACTGAAGCTGAGATCGCTAGAACTTACAATTCACATGGATTTGGGGTGGTGGGATGGGGGTTGCAGCAGATGATGGTTACCAAAGCATGTTTTAGTGAACAAAAATATGTGAAGGTAACTGATTAATATGGACACAAATCTGAGTTGGAATTATGTACATACTCAAGTGCTTTCTATGATAATAAGCGATAGAATGCAATTCCTTTATTGTAATATTGACATACGCATCACAAGTAATTATCTGATTTAGCTTAATGGAAAAACTCATTAATCGTTGGTAATAACAGCTTTTACCTTGCAATATCACTTGAAATGGAGCTCAACCTGCGTGATGAATAGAGATGTTTTTTTAGCATTACAAAAATGTGCATTCAACAGAAAAAAGTCACGGTTCCAAACAGTTTGACTCCATTGTGCTCAGATATGGATGTCAAATGGTCCAGATTATGATGTCTTCAAGTTGAGGTGGTGACGTCTTGATCATAGCCCGGGTGAGGATGTCATATTGTCTAGACGGTGATGTCATATAGTTCAGAGGGTGAGTTACATAGTCAAGAAAGGAATGTCACGAACTCTTATAAAAGATAGTGCTGACATATAGTTCTGACGGTGATGGCATATAGTCCAGATAATGCTGTTATATAGTCCAGACGGTGATGTCACATAGTTCAGGCGGTGATGTAATATAGCCCAGACGGTGGTGACATAGAGACCTGACGGCGATGTCGTATGGTCCTGACGGTGGTGACATAGAGACCTAAAGGTGATGTCGTATAGTTCTGACGATGATGTCGTATAGTCCAGTGCTGACATATAGTTCTGACGGTGATGGCATATAGTACAGATAATGCTGTTATATAGTCCAGACGGTGGTGTCACATAGTTCAGGCGGTGATGTAATATAGCCCAGGCGGTGGTGACATAGAGACCTGACGGCGATGTCGTATAGTCCTGACGGCGGTGACATAGAGACCTGACGGTGATGTCGTTTAGTTCTGACGATGATGTCGTACAGTCCAGACGGTGATGTAATATAGTCCATATAGTTCAGACGGTGATGTCATATAGTCTAGACGGTCATGTCATATAGTCCAGACGGTGATGTAATATAGCCTAGATGGCGATGTATAGTCCATAAAGTGATTTTATTGTAGTGATGAAGGTGAAGATGATGTAATATAGATCAGACGGTGATGTAATATAGATCAGTCGGTGATGTAATATAGATCAGATGGTGAGGTAATATAGATCAGAAGGTGATGTAATATATATCAGACGGTGATGTAATATAGATCAGACGGTGAGGTAATATAGATCAGACGGTGATGTAATATAGATCAGACGGTGAGGTAATATAGATCAGACGGTGATGTAATATATATCAGACGGTGATGTAATATAGATCAGACGGTGATGTAATATAGATCAGTCGGTGATGTAATATAGATCAGATGGTGAGGTAATATAGATCAGAAGGTGATGTAATATATATCAGACGGTGATGTAATATAGATCAGACGGTGAGGTAATATAGATCAGACGGTGATGTAATATAGATCAGACGGTGAGGTAATATAGATCAGACGGTGATGTAATATAGATCAGACGGTGATGTTATATAGATCAGACGGTGATGTAATATAGATCAGACGGTGATATAATATAGATCAGACGGTGATGTAATATAGATCAGACGGTTATGCCATATAGTTCAGACAGTGATGTTATATAGTTCAGACGGTGATGTAATATATCAAAGACGGTTATGTAATATAGATCAGACGGTTATGTAATATAGTTCAGACAGTGATGTTATATTGTTCAGACGGTGATGTAATATATCAAAGACGGTTATGTCAAATAGTTCAGACGGTGATGTTATATAGTTCAGACGGTGATGTAATATATCAAAGACGGTTATGTAATATAGATCAGACGGTTATGTAATATAGTTCAGACAGTGATGTTATATTGTTCAGACAGTGATGTAATATATCAAAGACGGTTATGTCAAATAGTTCAGACGGTGATGTTATATAGTTCAGACGGTGATGTAATATATCAAAGACGGTTATGTCATATAGTTCAGACGGTGATGTTATATAGTTCAGACGGTGATGTAATATTGTCCAGACGATGATGTCTTACATTCAAGTCGGTGATGTCACATAGTCCGACAGGTTTGCTCATTGTTTCGAATGGCGAACTGATATTGTCCATTTAGTGATGTCCAATTCCTCAGTGGGTGAGGTGACACGGGTGGATCGCGAGAGTCACGTGATGGATGAAATCAGTAGTTCTCAACGAGCCTCATCGTGAGACAAACAGTCACATGATCCATGAGACACAGCCTGGTGTATAGAACATGGAGACTAAAGAGATATTTCCGCATGATCATTCACATTTAGATTATATCTCGTGAGTAATAATGTCAAATGGAAGATGTAATACATTTGGTTTGTTGGATGTCTCAGTGACATATAGATGTATCTTTAACAAATTCCATTGCGGGTAGTTGTAATTACTGTCATACATCTATAACAGAGACCGGTGAAGAAACATCTCATCATGTAACGTTAAAATAAGTCACAAAATGATCTTATTTTCAAAAATATCTTTTTCTATAACATTGTTATGTTAATCTGATAAGTAACCACAGTATACTACGGTTATAACGAACTCAATGGACCACTAATTTTAGTTCGTTATTACCGTTGTTCGTTATAAGCATATATACAACATCTATACAGCAAATGGCCGGTTAAGTTCGTTATATCCGTCAGTTCGTTACAAGCTTGTTCGTTATAAACGTATTTTACTGAATGTCCCTACAACGGTGTGATGTCGTCTCTATGTTTATTCATGGATGTCCGTAAAACGCTGTGATAGTAGTCTCACCACCTGGGATGTTAGCTTGGTGAGTAGCGTCTCCCACTTTGTGATGCTAGTTTGATGTATCATTTCATACCTGTACGCATATCAAAATAACGTTATAATGTTGTGGGCGTATATATATATATGCCTACACTGATGTTGTGTTATATCGCTGTCAGGATATGGCGTTCATTGTTATAATATATTATCATTAAACAATGTTCTCATGTCCTCCACCAGGTATTCCGATTCTGGGCCAGAACAGGTCCCGAGAACCTACATGTCTGTTGGTCGTAACAGGTGACCAAATGGATGGGGTGATCAGTCGCGGAGACTGCGTGTCTCGATGACGTGATCGTTGCTCCACCATATCGATCACTGGATTGTCTGATTCAGATTCAATTGTCTACAGGCCGTCGTCTTATAACTGGATTTATGCTGAGGTAACCAACGCACGCACGCACGCACGCACGCACGCACGCACGGACGGACACACACACACACACACGCACACACACACACACATATATATATATATATAAAAGCCCGAGGTGATACAGGTCCCAGACGTTTGCCACTTTAATTAACCCCACGAGCACGGGTATGGTGCTGACAGACCTAGAGACATAATCGGGGCTCCCCGGGACTGGAACCCACAACCACATGTTTCTGGCGTATCCAAGGGATGCAACTCTGCACAGCGAATTGCGACTGAGCCACTCGTGTCGAAGGTATTAAATCAAGCACAATATATTGCAATCTCGCTTGGGAGAGAGAGCTTTATTTCTGTAAAGGGGCCACCGGCCCATTATACAATACATGATATCAGAATTAGACAATTTTAAAGCACGAAATATAAATTTAGCTAAAGCATTAATTATGCATGGGATTTTAGATGTATAGAGTGTTACAAATTTATCAATAGTTACATTTGTGTAAAAATGATAAGGTACAACATTACGTCTCAAACTGTCATAATATGGACATTGTAAACAAACTTGATATTCAGATTCTACTTCAGGTCTTACACAAAAGACTTGGGCTACGCAACAAGATTGAACTTTTAGAATAGTTATTATTTCCAACCAATTTGGTTATATATGTGTAAATACCACCATAAGGCATCAGTCGGTGGCGCAGAGGATAGTAAATCAGATTATCATTAATGATAAGCTACTGGCATTGCTTTTGATCCCATTCCTGGAGTCAATGGCCACGTATAAGACCCGATGCGCTGGAACCCATTACCTTAAAAAATAACTCTTTGCCATAACGGGACAGCTTTTTGTAATAAGCTGAGTGCTCGAACTGTTTAATAAGGAAGTACAAGCGATCTCACGCAGAGGAAAACTCACAGTGTCAGCGTTACAAGCAATCGGTAAAAATACAAGTGACTTAGCGTGTTGTACAGTATTAACAACTTGGATATGTTCCAATATCGATGCGTGTGCAGGCAGTCCTTCGTTTGCCTCAGACAAGGAGACATGCTGTCCTGAGTCCCGTTCCTGCATTGGATTATTTAATATACGCTGATTGATAGAAGAGTAGCGCAGGGTCACTGTTTTCGTCAGTGCATGTATTTGAATCTGCCTTGAACGACATGGGTTTCGGCGCAAGCAAACCAGATCCAGACTTCCCTTCAATAACGCCGGTGAGTAAACAGAGTTATGGTTTAAAAAGCGTACCATTGTAGATATGTGGGCCCTCCACAGGTCAAACAAGGATATTGATTGAGCCCCTTCTACTTGCCCCTCGCCTTGCTAAACGATTTATATAAAACTCCTTTCTCACTGGTACTGGGGTTATTTACGCCTCTTTTAGCAATGTTACATTAATATAACGACGGTGAAACCAAGCATTGGCTTCGCATGGTGTACTGTACTCTTGTTGGAAACCAAACCAGGGTTTTCAATGGGGTAAACATTACGCTGCAGTGACTGTAACATCAGAAGAATATGTAATGAGGTCATTCTATGATTTGTGTTGTTTGTACCGATGTCGTTATACTGTTTACTATTAATCATCCATCTTTCTATTCTGTTATTGAACACGTGATTATTCAAACATCCTATCCTTCTCTCTTATGCTCTCTTATGGATTGGTTAGTTGGTTTGTTGTTTAACGCCGCACTCAGCAATATTCCAGCTATATGACGGCGGTCTGTAAATAATCGAGTCTGGACCAGACAATCCAGTGATTGACACAATGAGCATCGATCCACGCAATTGGGATACGATGACATGCATCAACAAAGTCAGCGAGCCTGACCACCCGATTCCGTCAGTCGCCTTTTACGACAAGCATAGTCGCCTTTAACGGCAAGCATGGGTTGCTGAAGACCTATATTTACCCCGGATCTTCACGGGTCGGCACAGGTTAGAGACTTTCATATTCGTAGCATGATCAACATAACCAGTAAAGTCACACATTTTCACCACCCAATTGCCTTTTCAGTCTACTATTTCATCAACCACTGGTTATTTTGCCCTCAGATTCCCCCCGAACTTCGCTTACTTATGACAAATACATCATCGCTTTTAACACAAAACAAATCAGTTAACTTGTACACATAACAACTTCTGTTATTTTGTGTAACGTCTTTTCAGGGCTACTTCTTGCCAATTCATCAGGCGAATACTTAGTAAACGTATTGAGATAGACTCGTGAAGATCCGGGGTAGAATAGGTCTAAAGCAACCCATGCTTGTCGTAAAAGGCGACTATAATTGTCGTAAGAGGCGACTAACGGGATCAGGTGGTCAGCCTCACTGACTTGGTTGATGCATGTCATCGTATCCCAATTGCATGGATCGATGCTCCTGATGCCAATCACTGGATTGTCTGGTCTAGACTATATTATGTACAGACCGCCGTCATATAGCTTAAATATTGATGCGTGTGGCAACCTTGCCCATCATTAAAATAAAAGCGACAAAATCATAATCATAGATAATCTAAGATAAGAACAAAATGATTAACCTCAACGTAAAATTAAATTGTCCAAACACAGTTGTGAAAGGCGAAACAAATATTGAACTGTACAATCAATAACACTGATTTTTTGTTGTATAACATATAAAGCCAGCATGGCCTTATATCGACAAACGGCTTACATAAATATAATAGGTCACAACTGACGGCGTGATTCAGCTTTGCCTTTGAAAGATGAGACCCCACAGCGCTACATCGCATGCGGAAACAGATAGAAGTCCACAGTGTCGTCGCGCATCGGCGTACAAAAACCTGTCAATCCGTAGTGTGAATGGTAGCGACTGGTTTTAACACCCTATCAAGGATCACGCACAAGGCTCTACTTATATGATAATTGAACTGTTAATTAGGTGTTCGTTCTGGATACTGTCAACATCAGATAAAACCAGATCTATGTAAATGTTAGCAGCACCGGGGGATTATGACTTGCTTCGATATTGTACATTATATGTATCTGACGTCTCACTGTGAGCTTGAATTCGGATCTGGGCATCACCGAGTCAGTGTCACAGGGTTGTTTTCGCGTGTTCTTTGAGTTCAAGATGTATTACACTCTTCAAAACAAGAAGTCGATATATTTAATTTAATATCATAGATACAAATATGAAATTTTGGAGCTCGATCGTCACATGGTGTCGTTGTATAAGGGCATTGAAAACTGTTCATTGTCACGTCACATAAGGCCACAAGGTTGCGCTATACTCAGTATCTCGTGTGATTGCCCCCGCAGCAATCACGACTATGCATCTCCTCGGCGCTGACTGGATAAGTGTACGAATTCTGTCCTGCGGAATTCTGCGCCATTCTGCTTGTAATGCGTTGGCCAGTTGTGGGAGCGTCTGCGGCGTGTTCTGACGTTGACGTACACATCGATCGAGTTCATTCCAGAGGTGTTCGATTGGGTTGAGATCTGGAGATCTCGACGACCAGGGCAAGTCGTTGATGTTTGCATTATGAAGGTAGTCTACCGTGACACGACTGTGGGCGGTGGAGCGTTGTTCTGTTGAAACAGCTCCTTCTGGCGGCCAATGATTGGAAGAAGGTGGAATTGCAGTGGAATTGAACTGTGTGTATCGGTCCCAAAGGCGGCAAATGGTGCTCTGGAGGACGTGTGGCGTGCAACAGAAGACTGCGATTCCCCTCTTTGGATACGCCCTATGGCGATGTTTCGATCGGCAGCGCTGAGTCTCGGCATTTTCGAACTTGAAAAATGTTGACAATTGAATGACAAATTATTGGCTTATGCTTGCCTTTTTACAGCCACTACCGCGAGTTACGAATGCCATAACATGCACGTGCATTTTGCTTTACTGTTTTCCTCCATGACATTTGACAAGTGTGAAAACAATGCCGTTTAAGACATTGCAAATCGATAATGGCTGCGTTTTAACGCACTGTTTGACGAAAATCAGGCCACCAACATTTCCAATAACATATATCCAATTTATACACCGGATTTTTGTTTAGTCAGGTTCAATGAACTTCATACTACCCGTGCGTTTCTTCTTCTTTTTTTTGAGGAGTGTATATTATCTACTTTCCGATATTTGCACACGTGCTGGGCGATCATTTATACTGGTATGACGTCATTTTGCTCCTTTGCTGAGAAAAATACACAAGAGGACATCCAATGTTCATGACGTCACGGATTATCATTATGTCATCAGAAAAATCGGTTTCATTGTAGGGTTGATATTTCATGAGTTTTCTTCATTTTACAAGGGGTAATATATAAAATAACCTACTCGAAATTCGAATGCACGGATCATCTGTCACACTTAAATTCACACAGAACAGGAATCCGTAATTCCTCATAGCTAGTTGGTTATTTTCGATGAATTCTCGTTGCTTGTGTTTGATTGTGTTGAAGTTGTTGAAATGTTTTGTGTGCAGATATTGGTTCCCCGGACTCTGAAAGGTTATCCACCTCCAAAGCCGTCTAGATTGAAGAAGTGCGATTTGGTCAAGTTCGAAAGTTTCTTGACCATTGATGCCAGGTCAAAAGCGGTAAGTACATGTGTATCATGAATGGGAGCATTATAAACAATATATCTGCACAAGTAGAATAATAATAATGAGTCCATTTGTATGGCGCCAAACTCCATACCAGCTCGTGTGCTCATGTCGCTTACATTATTACCCCAATCAATGGATCAGTGAGCACTCGATTTTCATTCTCATCTCCCTGAGGAGTATACAACCAAAGCTGCCTGCGAGGCGCTAGAAGGTTAACAGCCACATTACCATCTCATCCTACCGGGTACCCACTCACTGCTGGGTGAACAGAGGCACATTTCGAACAAAGTCACTTGCCAAAGGAGACACAACATGTGCGTCAGTATGGGGCAGGAACGAAGCCAAAGGAAAACTCTCAAGTGTCAAGCTGCTGAACGTGGTCACCCATCCATCTACTCTCCGAGACTGACGTTGCTTAACTTCACCTGATTAGTCATCTGTGCGCTGTGCACAGGACCACGTGCCAGAACTGTTATGGCAACAAAACTTCTAAGATCGTGGAGACGCCATTACCGTTTCTCCAGTCAGGAGAAGCAGCAAGGTTATGATTGGTAGAGTGAAAGCCCATGACATGTTCTTGGCAGTAACACGGAGAATAGGTACCGCGGGGTCATAATGACTAATGAGTGAGAAGTAAGAGCTTAACGGATGGCCACTGCGAAGGACCTTCTCTCTGTTGTCCCCTGAGTGATGGCTTGAAGTTTATCATCACACTATCGACCACTGTCCAAGTTTCAATCACAATCACAACCGGGGTAGAATGGTCTTCAGCAACCCATGCTTGCCGTAAAGGGCGACAATGCTTGGCGTAAGAGGCGACTAACGGGATCGGGTGGTCAGGCTCGCTGACTTGGTTGATGCGTGTCATCGTATCCCATTTGTGTGGATCGATGTTCATGATGTCCATCACTGGATTGTCTGGTCCAGATTCAGTTATTAACAGACCGTCATATAGCTGGAATATTGCTGAGTGCGGCGTTAAACAACAAACCAACAGACAGCTGATCACACGCATTTTGGTCGCACACTCCCTCACTACTCAGTACTGAATATGCCTATCAAATGTAGTATATATATATGCCATTCATTCCGCAGATCATTGTGAGTGATGAGACAACCTATGGCCAGCTACAGACCTCCCTGACACGCGGTCTTGTCTCAGACTTGGATAAGGTGCGCGCCATCTTTACTTGGTTGGGCAGCCAGCAGATCTACCACAGCTACTACCCTGGTGTCGTCGACCCCATGACGCCCAGGGGATACATGAAGCTCATGAAGAAAAACCTTGGCACCTATACTGAGTTCTTCACGTTGTTATGCAGGTTTGTGCTTTAGTGAGTTTTTCGTATACAGTTAAACCCGTTAGGCCGCACCCCGAAAACCTGGCATTCCGGCCCATTGCGGTTGGTAACCCGTGTGTGTTGATCCGAACGACACTGTCCGGATTAACAGCGTATTTCTGTATACACGAGTACCGTTTAACGTAAAAGTGGCTCATCTTAATTCTGTATGTTTCTGTAGTTGTATAACAGTTAAGATTTGATTGCATCGTCTAATGTTATGTAGTCTATATTGGATTCATGACAATCAGTAATGACGAAAATGCATCAATACCTCATGCGCCTGTTAATTCTTGTAATGGGGGTTGTGGTGTCATTATTGGGTGAATCGACTGGAATCACACACTTGAATGGTACAGCTAATGATAATGAGTGACATACATAATGTCCACCTTCAATGAGTATTGAAGCTATGGCATCACTTTTATCATGGATCATCTCTACTCACTCTGTATACGAGGACTTAAAACAAAGACATGATAGGAAATCATGGGTCTGTATGGTAAGCCACTGTCCCGTACCAAAATAGAGGGGGGGGGGGGGGGGGGATTCATACATCTATTGGGAAGGTCACTGATCAGTGTGGGGAATAATACATCCTTATAGTAGGTCACTGTCTAGTGTGAGGTAATCCTACAGCCATATGGTAGGACACTGTCCCGAGTAAGAGAATCATACATCCATGTGGTAGGACACTGTCCGAGTAAGGGAATCATACATTCATATGGTAGGACACTGTCCGAGTAAGGAAATCATACAGCCATATGGTAGGTCATTGTCCCGAGTAAGGAAATCATACATCCATATGGTAGGACACTGTCCCGAGTAGGAGAATCATACATCCATATGGTAGGACACTGTCCGAGTAATGGGATCATACACCCATATGGTAGGACACTGTCCCGAGTAAGAGAATCATACATCCATGTGGTAGGACACTGTCCGAGTAAGGGAATCACACAGTCATATGGTAGGACACTGTCCGAGTAAGGAAATCATACATCCATATGGTAGGACACTGTCCCGAGTAAGGGAATCATACATTCATATGGTAGGTCATTGTCCGAGTAAGAGAATCACACATCCATGTGGAAGGACACTGTCCGAGTAAGGAAATCATACATCCATATGGTAGGACACTGTCCCGAGTAAGGGAATCATACAGCCATATGGTAGGACACTGTCCCGAGTAAGAGAATCATACATCCATATGGTAGGACACTGTCCGAGTAAGGGAATCATACAGTCATATGGTAGGACACTGTCCGAGTAAGGAAATCATACATCCATATGGTAGGACACTATCCCGAGTAAGAGAATCATACATCGATATGGTAGGACACTGTCCGAGTAATGGGATCATACAGCCATATGGTAGGACACTGTCCCGAGTAAGAGAATCATACATCCATGTGGTAGGACACTGTCCGAGTAAGGAAATCATACATCCATATGGTAGGACACTGCCCTGAGTAAGGGTTCATACATTCATATGGTAGGTCATTGTCCGAGTAAGAGAATCACACAGCCATGTGGAAGGACACTGTCCGAGTAAGGAAATCATACATCCATATGGTAGGACACTGTCCCGAGTAAGGGAATCATACATTCATATGGTAGGACACTGTCCCGAATAAGGGAACCATACATCCATACGGTAGGTCATTGTCCCGAGTAAGGAAATCATACATTCATATGGTAGGACACTGTCCCGAGTAAAAGAATCATACAACCATATGGTAGGACATTGTCCCGAGTAAGGGAATCATACATTCATATGGTAGGACCCTGTCCCGAGTAAGGAAATCATACATCCATATGGTAGGACACTGTCCGAGTAAGGAAATCATACATCCATATGGTAGGACACTGTCCCGAGTAAAGGAATCATACATTCATATGGTAGGTCACTGTCCGAGTAATAGAATCATACAGTCATATGGTAGGACACTGTCCTGATTAAGGAAATCATACATACATATGTTAGGACACTGTCCGAGTAATAGAATCATACATCCATATGGTAGGACACTGTCCAAGTAAAGGAAATCATACATCCATATTGTAGGACACTGTCCGAGTAAGGGAATCATACATCCATATGGTAGGACACTGTCCCGGGTAAAGGAATCATACATTCCTATGGTAGGTCACTGTCCCGAGGAAGGGGAACATACATTCATATGGTAGGACACTGTCCCGAGTAAGGAAATCATACAGTCATATGGTAGGACACTCTCCGAGTAAGGGAATCATACATCCATATCGTAGGACACTGTCCTGATTAAGGAAATCCTACATCCATATGGTAGGACACTGTCCGAGTAATAGAATCATACATCCATGTGGTAGGACACTGTCCGAGTAAGGGAATCATACAGTCATATGGTAGGACACTGTCCTGATTCAGGAAATCATACATCCATATGATAGGGCACTGTCCGAGTAAGGGAATCATACATCCATATGGTAGGTCATTGTCTGAGTAAGAGAATCATACATCCATGTGGAAGGACACTGTCCCGAGTAAAGGAATCATACATTTATATGGTAGGTCACTGTCCCGAGTAAGGGGATCATACATTCATATGGTAGGACACTGTCCCGAGTAAGGAAATCATACAGTAATATGGTAGGACACTGTCCGAGTAAGGGAAGCATTCATCCATATGGTAGGTCATTGTCTGAGTAAGGGAATCATACATCCATATGGTAGGACACTGTCCGAGTAGGGAATCATACATCCATATGGTAGGACATTGTCCGAGTAATAGAATCATACATCCATGTGGTAGGACACTGTCCGAGTAAGGGAATCATACAGTCATATGGTAGGTCACTGTCCTGAGTAAGGAAATCATACATCCATATGGTAGGACACTGTCCGAGTAATAGAATCATACATCCATATGGTAGGACACTGTCCGAGTAAGGAAATCATACATCCATATGGTAGGACACTGTCCGAGTAATAGAATCATACATCCATGTGGTAGGACACTGTCTGAGTAAGGGAATCATACAGTCATATGGTAGGACACTGTCCCGAGTAAGGGGATCATACATTCATATGGTAGGACACTGTCCCGAGTAAGGGAATCATACATCCATGTGGTAGGACACTGTCCTGATTAAGGAAATCATACATCCATATGGTAGGACACTGTCCGAGTAAGGAAATCATACATCCATATGGTAGGACACTGTCCGAGTAAGGGAATCATACATCCATATGGTAGGTCATTGTCTAAGTAAGAGAATCATACATCCATGTGGAAGGACACTGTCCCGAGTAAAGGAATCATACATTTATATTGTAGGTCACTGTCCCGAGTAAGGGGATCATACATTGATATGGTAGGACACTGTCCCGAATAAGGGAATCATACATCCATATGGTAGGACACTGTCCCGGGTAAAGGAATCATACATTCATATGGTAGGTCACTGTCCCGAGTAAGGGGATCATACATTCATATGGTAGGACACTGTCCCGAGTAAGGAAATCATACAGTCATATGGTAGGACACTGTCCTGATTAAGGAAATCATACAACCATATGGTAGGACACTGTCCGAGTAAGGAAATCATACATCCATATGGTAGGACACTGTCCGAGTAAGGGAATCATACATCCATATGGTAGGTCATTGTCTAAGTAAGAGAATCATACATCCATGTGGAAGGACACTGTCCCGAGTAAAGGAATCATACATTTATATGGTAGGTCACTGTCCCGAGTAAGGGGATCATACATTGATATGGTAGGACACTGTCCCGAGTAAGGAAATCATACAGTAATATGGTAGGACACTGTCCCGAGTAAGGGAATCATACATCCATACTGTAGGACACTGTCTCGAGTAAGAGAATCACACATCCATGTGGTAGGTCACTGTCCGAGTAAGGGAATCATACATCCATATGGTAGGACACTGTCCGAGTAAGGGAATCATACATCCATATGGTAGGACACTGTCCAAATAATAGAATCATACATCCATGTGGTACGACACTGTCCGAGTAAGGAAATCATACAACCATATGGTAGGACACTGTCCGAGTAAGGAAATCATACAACCATATGGTAGGACACTGTCCTGATTAAGGAAATCATACATCCATATGGTAGGACACTGTCCCGAGTAAGAGAATCATACATCCATATGGTCGAACACTGTCCCGAGTAAGCGAATCATACATCCATATGGTAGGACACTGTCCCGAGTAAGAGTATCATACATCCATATGGTAGGACACTGTCCGAGTAAGGGAATCATACATCCATATGGTAGGTCATTGTCTGAGTAAGAGAATCATACATCCATGTGGAAGGACACTGTCCGAGTAAGGGAATCATACACCCATATGGTAGGACACTGTCCCGAGTAAGAGAATCATACATCCATATGGTAGAACACTGTCCCGAGTAAGCGAATCATACATCCATATGGTAGGACACTGTCCCGAGTAAGAGTATCATACATCCATATGGTAGGACACTGTCCGTGTAATAGAATCATACAGCCATATGGTAGGACACTGTCCGAGTAAGAGAATCATACAGCCATATGGTAGGACACTGTCCCGGGTAAGGGAATCATACATCCATATGGTAGGACACTGTCCCGAGTAAGGGAATCATACAGCCATATGGTAGGACACTGTCCCGAGTAAGAGAATCATACATCCATATGGTAGGACACTGTCCGAGTAATGGGATCATACACCCATATGGTAGGACACTGTCCCGAGTAAGAGAATCATACATCCATATGGTAGGACACTGTCCGAGTAAGGGAATCATACAGTCATATGGTAGGACACTGTCCGAGTAAGGAAATCATACATCCATATGGTAGGACACTATTCCGAGTAAGAGAATCATACATCCATATGGTAGGACACTGTCCCGAGTAAGAGAATCATACATCCATATGGTAGGACACTGTCCGAGTAATGGGATCATACACCCATATGGTAGGACACTCTCCGAGTAAGGAAATCATACATCCATATGGTAGGACACTGTCCCGAGTAAGGAAATCATACATCCATATGGTAGGACACTGTCCCGAGTAAAGGAATCATACATTCATATGGTAGGTCACTGTCCGAGTAATAGAAATCATACAGTCATATGGTAGGACACTGTCCTGATTAAGGAAATCATACATCCATATGGTAGGACACTGTCCGAGTAATAGAATCATACATCCATATGGTAGGACACTGTCCAAGTAAAGGAAATCATACATCCATATTGTAGGACACTGTCCGAGTAAGGGAATCATACATCCATATGGTAGGACACTGTCCCGGGTAAAGGAATCATACATTCATATGGTAGGTCACTGTCCCGAGTAAGGGGATCATACATTCATATGGTAGGACACTGTCCGAGTAATGGGATCATACACCCATATGGTAGGACACTCTCCGAGTAAGGGAATCATACATCCATATCGTAGGACACTGTCCGAGTAAGGAAATCCTACATCCATATGGTAGGTCACTGTCCGAGTAATAGAATCATACATCCATGTGGTAGGACACTGTCCGAGTAAGGGAATCATACAGTCATATGGTAGGACACTCTCCGAGTAAGAGAATCATACATCCATATGGTAGGACACTGTCCGAGTAAGGAAATCCTACATCCATATGGTAGGTCACTGTCCGAGTAATAGAATCATACATCCATGTGGTAGGACACTGTCCGAGTAATGGGATCATACACCCATATGGTAGGACACTCTCCGAGTAAGGGAATCATACATCCATATGGTAGGACACTGTCCCGAGTAAAAGTATCATACATCCATATGGTAGGACATTGTCCGAGTAATAGAATCATACATCCATGTGGTAGGACACTGTCCGAGTAAGGGAATCATACAGTCATATGGTAGGTCACTGTCCTGAGTAAGGAAATCATACATCCATATGGTAGGACACTGTCCGAGTAATAGAATCATACATCCATATGGTAGGACACTGTCCGAGTAAGGAAATCATACATCCATATGGTAGGACACTGTCCGAGTAATAGAATCATACATCCATGTGGTAGGACACTGTCCGAGTAAGGGAATCATACAGTCATATGGTAGGACACTGTCCCGAGTAAGGGGATCATACATTCATATGGTAGGACACTGTCCCGAGTAAGGGAATCATACATCCATGTGGTAGGACACTGTCCTGATTAAGGAAATCATACATCCATATGGTAGGACACTGTCCGAGTAAAGAAATCATACATCCATATGGTAGGACACTGTCCGAGTAAGGGAATCATACATCCATATGGTAGGTCATTGTCTTAGTAAGAGAATCATACATCCATGTGGAAGGACTCTGTCCCGAGTAAAGGAATCATACATTTATATGGTAGGTCACTGTCCCGAGTAAGGGGATCATACATTCATATGGTAGGACACTGTCCCGAGTAAGGGAATCATACATCCATATGGTAGGACACTGTCCCGGGTAAAGGAATCATACATTCATATGGTAGGTCACTGTCCCGAGTAAGGGGATCATACATTGATATGGTAGGACACTGTCCCGAGTAAGGAAATCATACAGTCATATGGTAGGACACTGTCCTGATTAAGGAAATCATACAACCATATGGTAGGACACTGTCCGAGTAAGGAAATCATACATCCATATGGTAGGACACTGTCCGAGTAAGGGAATCATACATCCATATGGTAGGACACTGTCCTGAGTAAGGGAATCATAAATCCATATGGTAGGTCATTGTCTAAGTAAGAGAATCATACATCCATGTGGAAGGACGCTGTCACGAGTAAAGGAATCATACATTTATATGGTAGGTCACTGTCCCGAGTAAGGGGATCATACATTGATATGGTAGGACACTGTCCCGAGTAAGGAAATCATACAGTAATATGGCAGGACACTGTCCCGAGTAAGGGAATCATACATCCATACTGTAGGACACTGTCTCGAGTAATAGAATCACACATCCATGTGGTAGGTCACTGTCCGAGTAAGGGAATCATACATCCATATGGTAGGACACTGTCCGAGTAAGGGAATCATACATCCATATGGTAGGACACTGTCCGGGTAATAGAATCATACATCCATGTGATACGACACTGGCCGAGTAAGGAAATCATACAACCATATGGTAGGACACTGTCCGAGTAAGGAAATCATACAACCATATGGTAGGACACTGTCCTGATTAAGGAAATCATACATCCATATGGTAGGACACTGTCCGAGTAAGGGAATCATACATCCATATGGTAGGTCATTGTCTGAGTAAGAGAATCATACATCCATGTGGAAGGACACTGTCCGAGTAAGGGAATCATACATCAATATGGTAGGACACTGTCCGAGTAAGGGAATCATACACCCATATGGTAGGACACTGTCCCGAGTAAGAGAATCATACATCCATATGGTAGAACACTGTCCCGAGTAAGAGAATCATACATCCATATGGTAGGACACTGTCCCGAGTAAGAGTATCATACATCCATATGGTAGGACACTCTCCGAGTAAGGGAATCATACATCCATATGGTAGGACACTGTCCGTGTAATAGAATCATACAGCCATATGGTAGGACACTGTCCGAGTAAGAGAATCATACAGCCATATGGTAGGACACTGTCCCGGGTAAGGGAATCATACATCCATATGGTAGGACACTGTCCTGAGTAAGGGAATCATACATCCATATGGTAGGACACTGTCAGAGTAAGGGAATCATACATCCATATGGTAGGACAGTGTCCGAGTAATAGAATCATACATCCATGTGGTAGGTCACTGTCCCGAGTAAGAGAATCATACATCCATATGGTAGGTCACTGCCCATAGTAATGTAATCGTACATCCATACGGTAGGTCACTGTCTAGTGTGGGTAATCATACATCCATATGGTAGGCCATTACCAAACGCAAAGACACCATAGTTCCCTTTGATATTTTGCAATCACCTCGGCAGGATAATGACAATCCAGAGTTACTGATCGCGAGAACTGGTGTGTATCAACCATTTATCTTCATATTTCTTTCAGAGCGGCAGACATCCCTTGTGTGATGATACGAGGAAAGTGCAAGAGTGAGGATTACGAGGCAGGGGAAGACATCCCTGCGTGCATGTCTTCCAAGTGGACGGCTGTCTATGTAGATGGATTGTGGTGTATCGTCCACCCATTTAGGGCCTACTCAGGCATCAACGGTAAGAACCAAGCCAACACACAGAGGACCGAGGTAGAACCAGACAGCCACGACTCCATGAACAATAATGATCACAACGTTGTTGATGAATTTTTCTTCATCCCAGATCCAGACGATTTCATGTATTTCTGTTGGCCGGAAAAACCCGAATGGCAGCTTGTCGAGAAGACTTGGACACTGGACGACTTCTATGAAGCACCTTATTTCCACAGTGCTTATTTTACATCAGGGTTGACGCTTTCAAGTGAACACAAATCTTCATTGACTTCTAAATCGGGGATGTGTCATATCAAGTTTAATCACAAATGCGGAACATATGCAAACGTGAGCTATATTCTGTTTGTGAAGCAGAACCTGAGCGGAAGAATCCTCAACAACTCGAAACTCGAAATGTATGTCTGTAAAGAAGCAAAAGATGATCACATCAACATATACGTCCGCCTCCCTGTCCTGGGCGTCTACAAACTTGTCATCTATGGAGGACTTACGCACATGCTGAATCCACTAGCAGAGTTTCGACTGGACTGTTTTGAAAGAAACATGATGAATAATCCATTCCCAATTCGTTCCTCCCTTGGCTTTGGTCCTGGACAACGTTCTGTTGGTATGGGACTTCGATGTGTATCACATCCCGAGGGTGTTGTGCCAATACGTGCCACGAGGACTGATATATTTGACTTCCACCATACCCATCCGATGGAAGTTGAAGCGGTCCTACGCCATCACTCCTTACCGGCAGGTGACTTGAGAGCATTGGTGAAGAAGGTGATTGCCAAAAATCGTGTTGTGTTCCATGTCAGTGTTCCTGAAGATGAAATAGATGATGACGAGTTCGCTCTACAGGTGTTTGTGAGGATGCCCCACACTAACTACACCTTAGTCAACGTCCTGAACTTCCTCCTCACAGTCCATCCGGACATGTATGAGATAGAGCATACGGTAAGCAACCTCGTCTCCGTGAGTATTGGTGACACCTACATTCTCAAGCACAAACATGTGTATATTTCGAAAAAGGTTAATAAAAAACTTTAAAAACAATACAAATAATATCATTCATCCAGGTTGTTTGGAACAACAGTTATGAGAATGTCTTTATCTGATAGACAAAGACGTTGACATGCCTATCCTTTTGAGATCATAAACACTAACGGTCAAAGCAGGAGTGAATACTTTAGTTTCTTATCCGTTCTGTAGTTTCGTGCACATGTTCTGATAACTACTTTTATTGACCCTTGCACCTAATGCTTGTCGTAACATCAGGCTACGGTCAGGATACAGTGATCACTATGTGGAACCTCACTGGTTTTGAGCCCCGAAGGCGTTGATCTCTGCTCATGCTGTCAACCACTAGTTTGTATCGCTAAGACTTGATTATTTACAGTTACGGTAACATTGCTGGCTGTAACGTGCACTCACATGTTAAGGGGGTTATTTAATTTAAATGATTAAATGAGACTAATTCGCTACTGGTTCTCCGGATTTGTTTATTTACGCGTACAGGTGGCTTCAATCGACTGCCAACATTTTTCTGGGTGCTGTTGGCTCCATGTATGTCATGTGCAATATTGTCTTGTGTTCAGCCAACGCAAGACAGGAAATGTGTTCTGGATCTGGTGAACTGGGAACATCTAGAACATCTTGCGACAACCCTCGACAAAGTCGACCGTGACACAAAATGCTCCAATGTCAACGTAGCCGAGGATATGACAATCTGCCTTAATAACAACAGTCCAGGTATGCGTTAAAATGGTGATGTGTTCTTGTTGTATGTTTCCTGTGGGGATTCCGGGGAAGAAAATATGAAGGCCTCCAGTATCCGATGCTTGTCGCAATAAAGGGGATTGGGTGGTCAGGCTCTGTGATTTCGCTGATTGGGTGTCATCGTGCCACGATGGCGTTGGTTGTTGCTAATGCTTTCAGGCACGTCTGGTTTACACTCGATTATTGACGTGATGTAAACTGCCGGACAGAAGGAAAGTATCCACTTGAAAGATGACCCAAAACCCGTTTCAAATACATCACCATGGAATAACCATTTCGTGTTTATTTAAGCCACCAGTGGTATATATACTCTCGAAAAAAAAATCAGAATTGGGATACTATATCCAATGCTCCAAATATTTAGAATTACTGTTACTCGCTTGTGAGTCCACGGAGGCGGTCGATTGCCATTATGGAATACATTGAGCAAATAAATGTTGATGTGTGAAACAAACTGATTATGTCTAAAATACATTTCCGTGCCTATTCAATTTGCAGAAACGTATATACATGCTAACATTTAATAATCATTCTTTGGTCACATGCCATATATTATGGCATTACTGTTTCCAGCTGATCATCTGTTGTTGGTTGTTTCGTCAGTGTGGGCATCACAGGAAGGTTACTCACGGAATCACCTCTCCAGCGCCATGAACAACAGAAACAGGAAGCAGCTGGAAATGGCTCTGCATGGACTCCATTGTAATGGTCATCTGAATACCAGCCTGAAGCCAGAAATGGCCGCACTTGCTTTCTTGTACGAGGAAGGTATGTATCCACTGTTGAGTGTTCTGACAATCTCAAATAGGATGATATGATCATTAATTCAATTATGAGTGTGTAAGTGAGTGAGTGAGTACGATTTTACGCCGCTTTTAGCAATATTCCAGCAAGATCACGGCGTGGGGCACCAGCAATAATGGGCTTCACACAGTGTACCCATGTGGGGAATCGAACCCGGGTCTTCTGCGTGAAGAGCGAACGCTTTACCCACTAGGCTACCCCACCGTCCCTTGTAAACTTGGTCATCGCATATGGATACCTGATCTATTTCGGCCTCTTTATTCGTGGCAAGGTAGAAGAGTTCCTATTGAAATTAATTGTCTTTAATTTGTTTCCAAAGTGTCAAACAAAGTTTGAATTTTCTTTAACATGTTCAATTTCGGTATTTCAAATTTTCAGTCGTTTGCAGTCTAGCGAAGTGCTACGCTCATTTCTCAATTAAGATACAAGTACTTTAGCCACTGCCCAATGCTGACAGTTTTACTTCTTGTTGGTATTTTGTCAGAAAATGAACCTATCTTTCTTAAAAGTACTATTTGATGGTTGTGAAAAAACGTAGGCAGTATGCCTGGTGTAAGTTATCGTAAGGGATCGGCGATAAGAAAAATCTGAAGACATCTGACCTAACACTTTCCTTTGAAGTTCATCGTCTGCAATATCGATAACACAATCCAATGACAAAAGTCTTGACATACATCTTCATAGTAACACACACCTTTGCCTATAACACCCTCTTCTTTATTCCAATAATCTCCTTTATTGATGTCCTGTACCTTCAGATGTCGTTATTTCACAGAAATCAAGAAAAGAAGGTCTGCCAACGATCTGGACAGCTTGATGAAGGCGATCGCTGAATCCAGCGAGTCTGTCGTCAGTGAGAACTTGGAATCTTCCCCAGTAGTGCAATCGGCCCGAGACTTCCTGAGTCGACAGTTGCGTGTGAAGCAATATAACATGGTCATGCAAACGCTAACATCACAGACTGTGACCGATGTGGCTGACTGTCAGCGTCCTAATAACATCTGTTTTGTGGTCTTAAGGTCAACGTACCTTCTACTGGGAGAAGATAGGCCATTGCAGGTAAGTCGCCTAGAGCAGTATAGTGTCCTGTGTTTCGTTCCCTATGGGCTGGACAAGGCTATCACAGGAGCTTGCCATCGGCTATTACCAAACTTTCTCTTTTTTTCTTCTGTAGACGTGGTCTGATGTTCAGCACCTGCTTCGGATAAAGGGGCATGATAGTCTTATCAACCGGATAAGCCGCTTCAGCTTAGACGCTCTCAGTAATAAAGTCAGCGATGAGGTCAAGGACACGCTTTCTAAGTTCAAGATCGAAGAGGTCAAGGCCACGGGATCAGCCGTTGCGGCTTTTTATCTATGGGTTAGTGTAGAGTTTTGCGCTTAGAAAATAGTTTGGGTACAAGGTACTAATACTTAGTGGATCTTCTCCTTACCTTACATGTTATAACAATATAAACAATCATAAATATGCACTGATAATGAGTGAAAACAAACAATATATCTTGATACAAAGACATACAACATATAATATGCGTACAGTTAAACAGTGAAATACTTTTACAAAGAGAAATTTATGAATCGAATATGCTGTTGTCAACAAATAAGATGTACAATGATTTCATTCTTTAGTCTGAAAACGTCTAAGACCTGTTTTCTGCCCGCATTAAGCTGATACGCCGTGATATAACTGGAATATTGTTAATAGCGGCGTTAAACCCAACTTACTCACTTACGATTGGCCTTCCTTGAAAATTCTACAGTATGACATATGTGGTAATGCTTGTTTATATTCAATAGGGGCGGTCGGGTAGCCTGGTGGTTAAAGCGTTCGCTCGTCACGCCGAAGACCCGGGTTCGATTCCCGACATGGGTAAAATGTGTGAAGCACATTTCTGGTGTCCCCCGCCGTGATATTGCTGGAAAATTGCTAAAAGCGGCGTAAAACCGTACTCACTCACGTATATTCAATAAAATATATTAAGATCAGGGAGGATAATGAATATAAATTACATTGTCATGAGGAATGTATCATTTGAACGCCAACAAAACCCTGAAACCTAACATCTGACGAACAAATTATCTGGCCTAAGTGGTGTGTCCCTCGTATCATATGTCGATTTCTATAATTATAAATTGATGAATGAACATTTAGTATCTGTTAAAGTGTGTGAGGGTTTCACTAATCTCATTTTCCATGGTGTAGTCACTTTAATTACACAGAGACATAAAACAGTGAGTAAAAATCAAACATTATCAACTGATTGAATTTTGGATCTCCCATCAAGGCTGATTGTATGAGGAAGGATCGGGAAGTTTATAAATATATATAGTTTATAAATATTTAACGTTTTTGTATGAAAGTGAATGTTGGTTTTAGACGCCATCAGCTTGGTAAATGGTAGAAAAGTAATTTATTATTATTGTACTATTTTCAAAACACTCAGCTGAGCGAGTTATAAAAGATCCATATTAGTAAACAATTGACATTGTGCCATGAATTTGGGCAATAATTGATTCTGGTCAATCAGTGGTGTCAAATCACAACAACCATCTCTGATAGAAAAAGCCGTTCTGACGACCGCATCACCGCGGAGAACAGTATGAAGTTATCGTTCTCACTTATTGACGGAAGGCAATATTAAATAATTATATGTTCAAGTATAGGTAATAAAATGCAGATTTGCGGTAACTACAATATTCAAATATGTGTGGCCATACATATTGTGCAGACAACACGATAGAAATAGACTGGGAGATTGTTTTTCAAACTTTGTGGACCATAGATAGCTTGCAGTTTATTAAAGCGTTCCGTTCCAAATTAAAAAAAGAGGTATCCAATACAGTGTGGCAACCTCAAATTTCATGACGCGGATGCTATCTCCTTAATTCAACTTGACTCATAATTTTAATATAAAAACGTTTTATTTCTGAAGCGCCAGAGTCGTCGTATAGAAACTGACAGAGTGATGTAGTTCTGAGTATTCTCCATTTATATTCAACAATAGAATATGACATCGAGATCTAAACACAAATACGTCAACACCAGCCTCGATTATGCGCCGAAACATATATCATTGGCCGTAAAAAGCACAATAGCGGTGAAAATTATATGAATATATGTATGAAATAACGATACAAGGTCACCATACGAATATCTTACTGGGTTTGAGGATTTACAAACTTATGCTAATTTATTTCATATGTGTTAATTCACTTGTGTCAATAATGATTATATATTGCAATACTTTGTTTGTGTTTGGTCGATCTTTATCTAATTATTATATAATGTTTTCTTGTTTGCAGTAAAAATAATTTATTCGCTACTTTTCGTCGTATGATTTTAGATATTAATCTATTTTTTATAATGTTTATTTGTAATCATATAATTTGTTTGTTTATTTCTTTGGTCGATCATTGTTTTGCTTTCCTATTGGTTGGTGTTTGTTGTTTTGTCTGTTTTTTTTCTGACATTTACAGTGTCTGTTGCAGGCGCTGGGGGTCGTGATGGAAGTCGGTTGAAGAAGAAACTCCACCGCCACAACAAATGTACAAAATGTAAAATAGATTAATAAAACATTATCCTTGACAACGCTGTTTTTTTGCATTGTGTGTACGACAGAGAGAGACACAGAGAGAGAATAAGAAAGAGAGAGAGCAAATGTGTGTGTATTTGTGCTTGTGTGTGCGTGCGTGTGTGCGTGCGTGCGTGTGTGTGCGTGTGTGCGTGCGTGTGTGTATGCGTGCGCGTGTGCGTGTGTTGTTTATCTCAGCAACAATCCAGCTATAAGACGTCGGCCTATAAACAATTAAATCTGGATCAGACAATCCAGTGATCGACATAGTGAGCAACGATCTACGTCATCGAGACCCGCAATAAGCCAAGTCACCGCGACTGATCACCCCATCCATTTGGTCGCCTGTTACGACCAGCATTCACGTAGGTTGCCGGGAACCTGTTCTGGTCCAGAGTCCCCAAAGGAGTGGGATAGGGGCAAGTAAAGAGAGAGACATTATTGATGTTTCTTGAAAGTCATGAATAACACATCATCTTCTTAAACAGCAGCTCAAAACCAGCAAGCACAACAACTGAATGCCGGGTGGTGGGCGTGAGAACATTGCTTTAAGGGGAAGTGTACACGCAAAAATCACTTTCTTTTTTATTTTAAACAAAGCGCAATTTTAGAATAAGTTAGTATCAGTGTTTGAAAATATACACTCATTTTTCTCACAGTCAATGTAGCGAGCTCACAATAAGTGTGAAAATGTCATACCGTTATGAGGCCTTCGTTTTCCGAGCTAAACAGGCCTGAGTTATCCCCCTTAGATTATGACGTAATTGGTACCAATTTAACTGGGTCCCTGTCTTGTCACAACGCAAAAGATATCAAGTACCAGTTTATGGTGAGACAACATGGCATCCGATACCTTGCCTGGTCCGAAGAAGTTCCCTTGACCCTTCAAGAAATCGCAAAACCATACGATTTTGAACCAAAACGAGCAAGCTTCGCGGTATGGAATCGATGAAAATCTATGAAAATATATAATACAATGATTTTGCTTTGTTTCGAACGTCATATCGTCACAGCGATTTAATACAACGTCGGTGTAGGTACATATACGCACACAACAACATTACAACGTTGTATTGATATAGACAGAGGTATAAAATGACACAACGTCATCAAACTAGCATCACAAAGTAGGAGACTTTACTAATCAAACTGACATCCCACGTGGTGGAGATACACTCATAGGACTACTATCACAGCTTTATACGGACATACATGTATACATATATACATATATCAGATTTTCGATCACGACTGTTGATAATACTTAATTTCGTTTATCCGACATACTTGTTAATCCGACATAATCATATGCAGCCAACCATGTCGGATTAACGGGACTTGACTGTACATGTATACTGTCAGCATTAATAAAATAGTCGGGTAGCCTATAGTGGTTAAAGCGTTGGCTTGTCACGCCGAAGACCCGGGTTCGATTCCCGACATGGGTACAATGTGTGAAGTCCATTTCTGGTGTCCCCCGCCGTGATATTGCTAGAATATTGCTAAAAGCGGCGTAAAACCATACTCACTCAATTACCTTCTATGGCGTCCTTGAACTTGCGATAGTGCGAACTTCTGGTGGCTATATTCGATTTATTTTCGAGGTCGAGTTTTTAGGAAATTTCTCATGAAAATATCAAGAGCTTATTTAGCTGGTGTTGGATATTAATTTCATTATTATTAAACATGATTTTTAATTATAAGCTGTGGATACGGTTTTGAGTACAGATAAAGTTGACTAATTAATTTATAAAATATTGTTGAACATTCTTAATTACAAGCATGTTTGCTTCAGGGTGATTGCGGTTTGTTTGACGCAGCACACAGCAATATTCCAGCTATTTTATTTCTGCATGTAAATACAGTAAACTACGGTTATGACGAACTCAAGGGGACTACTATTTTTAGTTCGTTATAACCGTAGTTCGTTATAAGCATATATACAGCATAACTACAGCAAATAGTCGGGACTAAAAAGTAAGTTCCTTATATCCGTCAGTTCGTTATAAGCGTGTTCGTTATAACCGGAGTTTACTGTAATCCAATTGTGACCAAACTGGTAAGTGAAACTGGGCAACCGAGTACGAAGACGGCGACAGCAACCGGCCACTGAATCTCACCTTCGAATCTCCATGTTTGTCCGCGCTAACGAAAACTTGCGCAATGAAATATCTCATATTGTGGCTACTCAAAAGAACAAACACTAAGTGTAAATTATGTGAGTGTCGGGTGCTGTCGGTAAAGCAGGACACATGGTGTGATCACTGATTTTTCAGTGATCAATTCATATAATTATCACTACTAATTTGCCTTTTACGCCCAATGGAATATGTTTCGGCGATAAACGAGAGTGATTATTCTCTGGCGTTGACGTGTTTTTTGTTGTTGTTGTTTTTTTCATAATTGTCAAGACGGAAAAAACTCAGTGATGTACTCCAGCGTGACGTGTAGGTTCCGACGTGTCCGTATGTGAGTATGCATATACATAGAGTGAGTTAGTATGGTTGGACGTCCAGCCTTGTTGTGTCACTGCAGGTAATTGTGTGGGGAATCGAATAAGGTCCAGCGCTTGACCGCTGGGCTGGATGACCAAGAGACGGGTCATACATTAATAGTGGTTATTCATCTCAATACAACATCATCTTGGAACGAAGAATGTTTATACCATTTTGTTTTTGTTGGGTTTGTTTTAACGCCTCTTTAGGAATATGACAGCGGTCTGTAAATAAATGAGTCTGCCAACAATCCAAAGATGTTATTGTGTTAGTTTGTTGTTTAACGCCGCACTCGGTAAAATTCCAGACAATCCAGTGATTGACATCATGAACATCGATCTACGCAAATGAGATACGATGACATGCATCAACTCCGTTAGCGAGCCCATACCACATGATTCCATTGGTCGCCTCCTACGGCAAGCAAGCAACCATCAACGTCGTCGGTGTACGATTGCAGTCAGTCAAATCACAGAGTCTGACGCCCCGATCCATTAAGTCGCCTCTGACGACCACCCTGGGACGTTCGAGGCCTATACTAAGCCGGAATCCGCACGAATTTTATCCCATGGAAGCCAAACAAACCGAATGTACTGTTGACCATGGGAAGCACTGATGATCCAGCTGTACGCCTGATCAACGGATTCGCTTTGAACTTAAATTAGGAAAATATCCGGTACAATTATCACATTTGAAGCATTAATTCAGTTTTTATCAACTTTTTTCTGAAATGATGTTTTTGTACTTTTAAACCATGTGAAGGTTTCGCCAATACTCTAACAAGGCCCTGATCAACTCATGAGTTTACATAGAGTTTAGTTCCCAATGTTGATTTATAACACGCTTTATGATTGAAGAACACAGAATTGCTATTAGTAATCTGTTGACAGTGTCAATACATCTTCACCTGAATAGTTCCATAATATCTCCACATCACCATGCATGACCAACACTGATTAAAGCAACAGCATTCTCACATGCGATGCCCAATTAACCTTACCAAGAACAGCATTAGACCATGCTTTATTGTGATTAACATTACAAATATCTCTCGTAAACTTTGGACTTTTTCTAGACTTCTCTAAATGTAAATCCAAATATTTCAATTCTATAATATGCAAACGGGGCTTTTATTATCAAATATAGAAACAAATACCTTAAATGATAGATAGGGATAAAGCTTAGTTAACTTAAATATAGGAAAACCTGCTTTCTTTGCCTTAGTCGCTGGAGTTTCACAGGCCTTAGACCATGGAAGACGAGATAAAAAGACAATGCCCAAGTATTTATAATATATGTCAATCTCGGAAGTTTTTTTCTGAATCTTTTTCATTTCTGTATTTTTATAGTTACTGTACCATTTATCAACTCGTTTGACAACACCGTCATTTCTGAATACAATACTTACCCATATACAAATATCACAAAAAGATTCCAATTTATCTGATATTGTCTGCAACTCAATGACAGAGTTCGCTACTAAGACAATGTCACCAGCAAACAGGAACAAATTGATTTCATCAATAAACTCATGAACAAAAATACCACTTTTATCTAAATCTGTAGCAAGTTGGTTTGTAACGAATACAAATAACAGTAGGCTTAACATACAGCCCTGTCGGAAGCGACTTGAAGTCTGAAATGCGTCAGTTCTAAAATGTCCGATACGAACACAAGCACATACGTTTTCATACATATTCTTTAACTCTTTAAACAGTTTGTCACATATGCATTTCTGTGAAAGAAGATATAATAATTTAATCCCATCAACATAATCAAAAGCCTTCCGGAAGTCAATAAATGCAGCATAAAAACGATGCTTTGGTTTTCAAATATAGTTTTGCGCTAAAGACTGATCATGTGTGAATCAAGTTTGGGCTTCTGTTATAATTTCTTTCAGTCCACTTTCAATAATGGATTTGAACAATATATATTTAAACAATATTTGGTTCTGAGAAGAGTGCGACACATCTGGAAACAGTTTACCCACTTCATTTACCACACCAATCGAATAATATCGTATACAAAAGTATATTTTAAACAAGCAACAGCGTTAACTTATCAATAAAGGATAATGAAAGAGACACTGAATTTGAAATTTCACATTGATGGATACGTATATTAGCCTTACTTACTTTCAGTTCGGTTTATCAGAGCCATTTTCTACTTGCATTTGTCGTTTGGGACAAACGAAATATGTTCCAGACAACCGACAATTCGATTTATCAGAGATCAATTAAAGATAGGATCAAGGGATTCGCCTGGGCCTGACAACTGGTTCGAAACAATTGAGAAGACCATGTTCAAATAACTGTAATTTAAGACCCGCATTGTTTCGCGGGTAACAATGTCTTAGAAGCACCTTGGAAACATATGACAATTTATTTCCTAGACCATAACTTGACATGGTCGTCCTTTTTAATGGATGAGTTTTTCATTGGCTGTTCCTCCCTAAGCATAAAAGCGTTTCTCATAATAATGAACAAAGTCACCACTGTACAAATTTGTTTTGGAAGCGCCCATAAAAGGTGAATTTACACGCATGATCTTGCGCGGTTAATATATTGTGGTGTATTCTTCTCTACTCATTGGTAATTAAATTATTGATATATTATTCAGGGTGTGCTGTGCATTGTCAGGACGAAGTAATAAGTTAATCTCAACCATTGTTGACCACGTGCATCTTCTTACAATAACAGTGACATGAAATCCACTAAACAATCACCGCCGATGAGCTTTAATCATTTCGCGATAACTTCTGAACGAGTGTAAAATTGATTATTGCTGCAATGAAAACGATATCGAAGGAATATCATATCTTTATTTAAAGTGGGTTAAAACAAGATTAACAATAAAATTGGGAATTATTCGCAGTGCTATTTCTTTTTCATTTTCCGGGTTCATTGCCCATGCAGTTTTGTCCATACTCATTTGACCGATTATGTTTTAAATATAAATGTTTGATGATCATGGTAAAATTAAATTAAAAATACCGGTAAAAAGGCCATTTCTAAAAAAATGCAATGTTGATTTACCTGGTAAGGGGGCCCTTCCAATCATGTTCATTGGTTCTATATCAACATTAGCCATCCACGATTTCACAAATGATAGAGTTAAAAATTACGCCCTCGTTTTCGCACAGTTGCACGTTGTTGTCGCAACTAGCGAGGATCACGATGATGAAAATTGTTTGTTTGTTTGTTTGCAATATTCCAGCTATAGATATGACGGTGGTTATGTAGTGTAAAACACGTACATGTGAATAGGGATGCATACGTTTAACGCACAATTTCAAAATGTACCACATGGTGTATGTACGTACACCGTTTCACAAATTATACCAGAGCATGGCGGGAGCAAACCGTTCAAACAAAGAACTTGTCAATTTTACATTCAGTACATGTTTACGTGCTTATAATTATATGCCGTCTCGCTTTGATGCCCTCGCATGCATTCAACAGAAACTGAAACTTTAGATAACATATACCTAATTGCTTGTGTCGTTGTTCATGCTCACCCACGTGTGTCAGTATACAACAAATTTACATTCACGTCAGATAACATGATGAAACGATGGAGAATATGCCCCAAAATATTACGTGTATGGGCGATGTCGAAAAAATAACAACAAAAGTAACGCAATCACTATTGTTTTTCAATAGAGGAGAATCCGGTCTACGGTGCGTAATTTGGGTGTGTTGGTATACATGTACAATTTGTGGGCGCCCTTTCTCAAAGCGATCGTTTCTCCCCTACATAAACAGACTTACGACAATCCGTGTAGCTCTGAGGTTAAGATTTGGGGTTACTTTGTGGAACGGGGTTCCGCGTGTACGCGTCTTCAGCTACATGATTACATCCACAGCATGCACATATAAATTTACTGATAATATTTATCATAAGATAAACTGATATCATTATCACCTGTGTCAACATTTCACAAAACGCAAGAATCCAATATATTTTCATTCATTTGGTCACATTAAAATCGTTTACCACTTTTACAAACCCTGTTTTATGGTTAATTTGATCAACACATTTGAGATAAGGTTTCACCAAGAAAAGCCATTGTTCGTTTTGTAATGTGACTACTTAACATGTTGAAAGCTGTACTATTATTTATTTTACAATATATCTAAACGTGTCAGGACTCGCGAGGTCATTCTGTCAGGGAAGGACAACGTGTCTGAAAAGTCACGTGATAAGAGCAGATCGCAATATCGTAAGCTGGGCCCCGTCTTTGATATCGCAAGTTGACTCGCATAGGGAGCCGGGAACCAGCATAGGAATGTCGTTAAAGAAGTTGTCATTTTCTACGGTTTGTAATTAGTAATGAGTAATTCCCTTGTCTGGTGTAGTATGATGTATGTCTATCTTTTCATACAGGAATATGACAATGATATTATATTATTTACATTTACCGTGTTAATGCCTATGTCGTAAACATACTTAACCATTTCCGGCAGAGTCGTTAAAGTTGTTTACAAATGGAGGATAAATCGCGCGTTTGCAAGTGGGTTCAACTGAATTCTACGCATACAACTTAAATTTGGTAAGTTAGCACACATTAGACATAATGCTGTCATAGCGGAAACTTCCTTTTGATCGCAAATTGAATCAAAATGTTGTTAGAGTGTTTTCTTTCAGTTTCGCGAACCCAGGCCACAATTGGAAAACCCAGCAACTGATCGCATAATGCAGTTATATCAAGAAATATTAGTTTTTGCCTAAGCCTTTGGTTACTGGTATATTCATATCAGTAGTTCCAACATAAATGGAAAAACACATTTGGCGATGTTGATTATCATATGCTTGCCCTCAAATATTTGATTATAGGCAAGTCAAAATGGTCAATAACATTTATTTTCGAATAAGCATCAGTTTCAAATTAAGTATAGGTAAAGGCATAAATATTTTACAAATATGCATTGCCGCACAATCTTTTAGTTATATATATATTTTTAGGGTGATAGATACGGGTGGAAGTTTTACCCACATGATTGACATGCATGAGCTATATTTTTTTTAGATAATATTTAAAGGGGCACTGATCTAACGCAATTCCCCGGACTGGTTGTTGCCTTTGTTATTGTTTTTTCCCCCGTGAGTACCCGGATGATACGCAACGCAACTGAGCGTGACCAGAGACTGGGCTACCGTCTGCAAGGACAGCTAAATAAACTTGGAGGCTGGAGGCAATATTTGTTTTACGCATTTTTGCATAAACACTGATTGGTTAACTGTGATCTATAAAGATTTCGACAAAGGGCGCATGTTAATTAATTTCTTCAGCCTAAACAAGCAGACAAAAAGAACAGCGGAGCTCATCGGATGTCGTCATTTGGAAATACCCCAGATGGTTATAGTTTTATACTAAAAAAAGTATCCATGCAGTGAAAGCATTTTCGGATTTCGGCTTGCGTCGATAATACGATTACTACTCCCTTGTTGTCATCCACGTTTTCTCGTATAACCCTTCACTTGTGTATTTGTCGTCATTCACTTGATGCTCAGTTAATGAATTTATTACAGGTACAGTTAGTGGTAGCACCACTTAGATTACCTGACAAAGGTTCCCATTTGGCATTTATTGTGTCTGGGGTAATTATTCAATCTAAATCCAGGGTTGAAGTGAGGTGAAATGTGTGTTATGTAATATGCACGTGGCAGCCCAGCAAGAGATGAATGATAAGTTGATTTATTTTTTTGTAAATCAACGGAACGTTCCTAGGATTAACAGAAAATACGTTGATTGATTAATCACTGTTATCTTGCACAGTGGATATGTCAAGAGTGAGTGTTTACATGTCTAGGTTTACTAAAACAAAGGGAATACACTCATACCATGGCGTGAAGTGCCGATGTAAAAACAACATACTTTGTTCAAAGGGTTAACTTATAATACGTTGATTGATTGATCATTGTTATTTATCACTCAATGGATTTTTTAGGAACCGTGAACGTTATGAAAATAGTTGTCACGTGGGCTTTCTCAGCCGACCATTGAGACTTAACACCTATGTAAAACACCTGAAACAATCCAAGTGATCAGTTGAGAAACGAACACGGGTTATAATATCCCGAAACGATATATATCTTTTAAAATATTTGATTGTTACTGACACGTGACATCGAATAAGTTTCTTTGTACATCTGCAGACGAGTGGGATATTGTTCCTTTGTGTGGATATTCACGGATACATTCCTCGAACAAGGAAGCTGCCTAAAATTTATACACATAAATTTGGTAGGTTGTAATTATGATATTTGCATTTTGTTTTCCTTCATTTGAACCGATTCGTTCTTGTTTCTCTACGTCTTGGTTGGGAAATTCTTCAATGCGCGATAGACATTGTTTTCAGTTCTTTTCCTTTGTAAGCGTGTATATATTACCGTCAATTTGTAAAATGTGATTCTCTCAGGCAATTTATAAAATGTGTAAATATTTCAGTCATTTTGACTAAAAAATCTGTCCAGATTGATTAAGACGATCAAAAGGGCCTACAAACATCACAACAGATTATTATGTAGGATTAGAAGCCAAACAACAAAGAAATGTACTTTTCTCAACGTAACATTTTCAGTCTCTTGGTGATGACATTAAACATCAAAATGTTTGGAATTCGTTATCATAATAATACAGATGGAAATGTTTTCAGTCGCTTTGTAAAATAACTGAATATTTAGAAGTTTAATAAATTTGTAACACATTTGACAGTAAAAAAAAATACACAATATAAAAAAAGCAATGCTCAGGTGAAATATTTACTTTGTGTTGCAAGTCAAAATAGTGTAAACGAAAATCGCAAAATTACCAAGCAAGTGACTTATCAAAACTTCGTCACCATTACCGATGCTACCCACAAAGATACCTACATTTCCTTATTATCTCGAAAACTGTATTTCATTTTGCTGATCAATGTGACCATACGCCCTTATTTCTACCCATAAAAGCGACTAATGCGCTTACGAATGGCGCAGCAGAGGTCGCGAACTAGTCTAGATTTTTGCTATACATCCGGGTACTCACTGGAAAAAAACAATAACAAAGGCAACAACCAGTCCCGGGGAATTGCGTTAGATCAGTGCCCCTTTAAGAAAAATGTTTTTAATAATTATTTCCTTGTTAGCATGGTAAAGGAATGGACCAAGAAATGTTTTGAATCAAAGCTACACTAAAATAACTACAACCCCAATTGTGGTTTAGTGGTGATTCATGAAGATGTGGTTACAAGGGTGCAACGAGCGATCAGTCGAATTGGTAATGACAACCCATGTGTCTGGTCAAAACAGACCACTGTTAGCAAGGTTAGTCAAAATGGACCAAAGTACATAGGCTACTACATGGCTGATGATAGAAGTTTAATAGCCAGGATTTTCTGGATGTATTTTATGGATGCATACTATGCACATACAAATTGAGAATGGACACAAATACAGTAAACTATGTTTATAACGAACACCCTTATAACAAACTGATAGATATAACAAACTGTTTTTGGGCCCCATCCATTTGTTGTATATATGTTATATATGGTTATAATGAACTACGGTTATAGCAAATTAAAATTATTGATCCTTTTGAGTTTGTTTTTACCATTGATTACCATTGTTTACTATATTTACTTTGCCAGTCATGGGGAACTAAAAAAAGCATGGCTGTTTGCATCATTGTACTGATCAAAATTGTAGATTTCTTGTTGCATGTAGATTAAGCTAACATCCTAATCTGCTTAGCATGGTAAGAATTAGACCCATTGTTCAGAGTGTCAACTGTTGATTTTCTTTTGTCTTTTGTTTTCTCTAAGCATTGAAATCCCCATCTATAATCATGATAATAGGCTTAATGACTTCTGACTTGTTCATTGTATATGCAGTTATATGACAGCAGTATAATTCTTGGAAATTAAGGAAGTGTGCCATATGTCACCTGCGGCATCCAATGATCCATGACTAATCTCCCTGAATCATGTGCAGTGTAAGGCTGCTTGGTCATGTGTAGAAGCACAGATTTACAAGTCTGTGGTAGAAGCAAGCACGACAAAGGTCACTGATCACTCAGACACTATAATCCAGTTTTATTTGGGCAGGGGTATTCATCTGTCATCCATCCATTAGTCATAACTGCACATACCTTAAAAACACTTCTTGAAAAACTATTGGATATATCAATTTCTATGGGCCCCCTGATATTTTTCGTAACTGTTTTGTTGTCCCGTGAAGATTCCAAGGTAGAATAGGTCTTCAGCAACCCATGCTTGCCGTAAAAGGCGACTATGCTTGTCGTAAAAGGCGACTTATAGGGTCGGGTGGTCAGGCTCGCTGACTTGGTTGATGCATGTCATCGATCCCAATTGCGTGGATCGATGCTCATGATATTAATCACTGGATTGTCTGGTCCAGACTCGATTATTTACAGACCGCCACCATATAGCTGGAATATTGCTGAGTGCGGCGTAAAACAACAAACCAACCAACCAACTTAACTGTTTTGTGTTAATCATGTTGGTTTTAACATGTGAGATGTTGAAAAAAAATCTTTATTTAGCATGTTTATTATTTGATAATAATAATGATTTATACTGTAGGCATTACAACTAAAATGTGTTTGCAAATTAGCATAATTAGTAGGTTTTCTTTTTCTGTAGTCTGTATCCAAATTGGAATTAAACCATTCATGCTTTTTCTTGAAATAGAAGTTACCATTTGTAATTATGCTAACAAAACATGCCAGATGTTGAAGATTTCAATTTACTTCCACAAACGCAATCCATTGGGAAATAACAATCTGTCAGTTTGTAGTGTAAAATAACCCTTGCCTGGCAATGCTTAATGAGGCATGCCAATATATTCCCTTTGATCTGGATACACGAGTCAAGCAATATACAAAATACGATCATGTATAGGTCAGCAATAAATATACTGATTGATTCTCAGCACACACAACAATGGCACTTGTCATGTTTATCATTATTAAATTGTAATGCTTTTTAAACGGAAACAATAAATGTCATTTGAGAGTGTGGAGTAGGAGTCTCTGCTTTGAGTTTTCTCATTTATTAGGAGTGTTATTCCAAACCCTGGTACTATATTGAAATTAGACTGAGACCTTCATTTTTTGTTTGAAAATGAGATACAGTAACTGTTTTCATCATGTTCGAACATTCAGATTTCTGTTGTTGTCTTAACATAAACGTAAGAAAGGGCATTACAAGTATATTACCATGATTACAGTCTGATAAAGATCCTGATGTTGTAATCAGTTGTTAATTAGTGTCTTGTGTGAAACATTAGTTGTCCTTATGTGATTTTGGTAATCTTATAATGCTAATACATATGAATATTCAATTTAATGCAGGATGAGTTAGTGTCCTTTTATCTGGTACAGTCAGCATGGTCTGTGTAACTATTGATCTTGGGTGGGGCAAGATTGATAATTTAGTAGGTGACACAAGGTGGTGTGATTGAGTCATGTTGGTGTTCATTTAATGTAGGCTGAACAACATGTACCTAGGGGATACACGTCATGTGTTTTCAGATTACTAGCAACCC